GCCTCGCGCCGCGCCACCTTCCCGCCTCGGCGCCGCCGCCTCAGGCCGCGCTCGCCCGCGCCGCCGCCGCCTCGCGCCCTCGGGACAAGTCCCGGCGCCTTCCTCCGGCGGCTCCGGTTCCCCTGGTCCTCCTGGCACTGGGCGCCTTCTCCTCAGCGGTAAGTGGGTGGGAGGCACACGGCTGTGGCTGATGGGTGCGAGGCTGCAAGCACCTTGTGGGCTTCTGGCTTCTCCCTGTGGTTTCCCCCTCTGGTCCTGCTGTWTTTTCATGTTCTCCTTGTGTAGCCTTGCCTTCACCCCCTGCATCGCAGGGAGCTTGCAGAGATTTCTTACAGGGTACAGTGGTGTGGCAGGATCTTCAAAGGCTTCAACAACTTGTCCATCTTTCTGCTTGCTCTGTCCTGACCTTTCTKTCTGCCTCGGTTCCCTCCTGACCTGTTTCTGGCCGCCTCCTCAAGCTGGCTCCTTGCTGCAGACCTCCTCCTCTCGCATCCCACGACAGACTGTTGTAGTTTGGAAGGATGAAAGGGGCAAGGACGCGATGTCCCATGGGCAGCGAGTTGTGTCRCTGTGAGCAGCTGGAGATGCCCTGAAGAAAGGAGAGCAGAAGCGGTGGCTCCCCGAGAGCTGCTACCACCTGCAGCCTGCGGTGACATCCTGTGCCAGGACCACAGAGCACCTGCAGCCAGTGTGGTTGTTTCGTTTTATTTACTTTTCACTGGCTCGCCAACTATTTAAAGACTCTCACGTACAAGCCTCAGAATTAAATTTAAAAGTTTTCTTYTGACTTCGATCTTAAACTCTTATGCACAGGCAAATGGGAAGAAAGTGGCAGCATTTTGGAGAAAAATGAGATCTYGGTAACTCTGACTGACTGTGGCTGCTGGAGGAAGGACTGCTGTGAGGCTGCGCTCTTCAAACCCAGCATTGGTGTAACACCCGCTTGGGAGGGTAAAGCTTCGCTGCCTGTCACCTGCTTCAGTAACGCGTGTAGCAGTAGTGTTGCTGTGTCTTTTGGTTAAACAGAGAATAAATAATACTCTGCTGCTATCATGCTGGGACAGAAAACACGGTTATACACCACCACTGTTTGACTGTTGGTGGAAAAGAGAAGTACYTTCTGTCAGCAGCTTTCCATCTTATTGGAAGTGCGAGGTGTTTAACTGCTATTAATGCTGCATCTGAATGCTTGGTCTGCTTCTGCTCTATCCCTTCACCTGAGGGGACAGCTTACTTTAAAACTGACTGCTTTCTTCTGGCGTAGTTAATACCTGGGCACTTTGCCACATTTACATCAGTCTCAAGAGCAGAMCTGAGAGCTGGAAAGCCCACCAGCAAGGACGAACTGTTGGAGCCACCTGTAACATACACAGCTGGCACCTTGAGGTTAAGATGTAGAAGTAAACGACCTGTGGAATGAAGGGGTTTGGATGGAGAAGAAAAAAATGTTAGCTGAGGAACCTCATTTGCTGCTTGTCTCCTGGCAGTCACTGGCCTCGCTTTCTCTTCTCCTTTGCTTAGCTGAGCAGGCTCTGGGCTGTGCAGGGACCATGATGTGTGTGTCTGTATGTGCGCATGGTGACAGCCAAAGCAGGTGGCAAATATAATGCAGTTGCTGAAGAGAAGTGCCTGAGCTGCAGTATGCGGTTGTGTGTCATGTTTCCCTCTAGTGGACTGCTCATATATACACACAGAGCAAACCTCTTCCCATGGACAAAAAAGATCACCACGAGCTCCAGGAGAAGTTATTTTTTTAGTCAGAGTTTGAGACTTTTGTCTAATGCTCCAGTGTACGTCTGGGTGTGTGATGATGCAGTGTGTGGTTATATTACAACCTGAGGTAATTAGAGCTGGAGAAAAGAAAACCTGAGGCAGTGTGTTACCAAACTAGTTGACCGTGTTACTCAGCGCTATTTGAGTTTTCAGTTTGATCCCTAAAATGGAACTACTGCTTTTAAATCCAGTTGCACACTGCAAAAACTGTTCTGGCTTCAGTTTAAAACTCACTGATAGACATACAAATGGATGGTCAGTGCTGAATGAGCTTGTAGACCATCTTGTTAGGTAGAGAAGAGAGATCTTTCCAGTTTATGGCATTGCTATTAGAAAGCAAAGCGAGTTTGTTTTTCATTTGGCTTTTCAAAGCTAATGATAGCAGTAGGTGCACCTTTGTTTCAGTGGTTCAGGTAATTTGGCTTCTGCAGCCTTAGTAACCCCTTTCTTCCTATGAAAGGAACATTTGCTGTCCTCTAAAACAGGGTTTTCTCCTGTGTTCATCTGCACAGGTCGCCTGGATTAATGGCATTTGCAACTCTGCAACTCCTGACATAAGCATCACCCAATTAAAACAGCTGATGATGTATTTGCAATACTGAGCAAAAAAATCTCGAGCTTGAATCCAAGGATTTGTTTAGCATGGAACGATGCAATCATTTAAGGATTCTTGTGTCACCTTTTTAGAGCTTGTTGATGCTTTCTGCCACAAGATTTATTTAAAGGTGGTCAGGCTGGAATGTCAATGGAAACATGAAGGCTAAAACCAAAGTAAAGAAGCAACGTCTCCCTGCTGATAAGGAAACGTTTTCTGAGAAGTCAAAAGTGAGAAAGAAAGAACCATTGAAACGCTTGCGGCACAAAGAAAGGAGGAACGGGGGAAACAAGGAAAGCAGCAGGAGTGCGGCAGCCAGGAGCAAGCGTGCGTGGAGCACTAAAGACAGACAGCTGAGGAGACTGGAGAGCAATGAACGTGAGCGGCAGAGGATGCACAAGCTCAACAACGCTTTCCAGGCCTTGCGGGAGGTGATTCCCCACGTGAGAGCTGAGAATAAACTTTCCAAAATAGAGACTCTAACATTGGCTAAAAATTACATCAAATCCTTGACTTCCATTATACTCAGTATGTCCAATGGACACTTTCCAGCTGTGGAAGGAATGGGGGGAACCAGTGGCTCCAAACTGCCACAGCATTGCCAACAGCAGCATGGGGATGGTGAGCATGAGGAACAGCTGAAAAAATATTCCACACCAATTCAGAGCTTCAGCTAAAGCAGCTATTGCTAGGGGCTACCTGCATTTCTTTCCTGCCTGCGTGGTGGCATGTGTCAGTATCTAAGAGATGGCTTTTGTCTCCCCATATTGCTCTTAAAAACAAACAGATGACACATGTGGTTCATCTTGCACTTCCCCTCCTTCCCTCCCCCTCCAAAATGGGTACATTTTTCTGGCACTTCAGTTTCAGAATTGATCCTGTGGTATCACAGTTGAATTAAAGATTTACTAACTTCTGAAAATCACATTCTCTAGGAGCATTGTGCACTGCGTGTGTTTAAGCCGCATGTCACCTGAGCTCACATGTAATGTTGTTCACCAGCCATTTAACAAGTTGATTCTTCCTTCACTAGCTTGCTAGAAATACTAAAAATCATGACTAACCTAGTGAATGAAATGGTACAAGTGGGAACCTGGCCACGAAATCTGATCTGATAAACATTTGAATGTACTTGTTAACGTAAGCATTTACCAGACTTTCTTAAACTCTATACGCTCCAGAGCAAGGATGATTTTTTGTCTATAGCATCCAGCTTCAAGTAGTTTGTCGTAAGTGGGTTTTGAGTCCTATGCACATAATGCACGTATTAAATAATGGGCAAGTTATTTATGATCTTTGCAAAAACTAGTGATGATCTTTGCAAAAAAAATGGTGATAATACTTTAGTATAGTTTTAAGTTAGGCAATGATCTATCCAATTACATGCTAATAAAGCTTGCTATCTTATCTGGATTTTTTCTTGGCTAGTGCTCAATTCTGATATTATGCAATACAGTAACTGAAGGAAGAGCTGTTTAAACAGGACAAGCAGCTTTTTTAAAAATCTGTTTCCCAACTCATTCTAAAAAATCTTCTGTGACTGAGACTGTGGCATCATGGACTGAAGGACTGCTCTGCCTTACTAAGCATCTGAGCTTAGCAGTGTCACATTGTCCCATCTTCCTTTTCCTTGCATGACACAAATGGTGGCAAGTGCAAGTTTTCATGTTATTTGTGACATCTTTGTCAGCTTTTCTCACCTTCTCTGTGGTAACTTTTGTGGGATTCTTTAGTGATTTGTTAGCCTGCTAAATCAATGCTTTACAAGGAAATGTATTAAGAAACATTCTTGGTATTTCCACTCACTTAAGTCTGCTCTGAAATATTTTGTGCAAAAGGGTTCAGGTTGCCATTTGGCTGTTTTGGTGGAGGGGAAAACTCAGGAGCTGAAAGGCCACTATTTGCCACTATTTTAACAGTGCCCTCGCTGAAGCACTGCCCATCACTTCAAGAATCATAGACTACTGAGGCTTTTACAAATAGAGGTTAAAGGCCCATGGCAATGTATCATGCTTAGATCTAAAAACCAAGGGTCTTATTCAAGTATTAGGCCAGGAATGGCACATACCATCTAGCACTAAACATGGTACCAAATAAGAAGCATGAAGCTATCCATTCTCTGACCCTGTAATCTCTACCAGTCAGGCACAGGCCATGTGTGTTCTAGTAAAACAACAAGAGCTGTCATGATGGGAACAAGGTGCTGCTTTCTTGAACAGGTCAAGAGGGATTTAATGAAAAGCATTATTTTTTTTCTGATAATTTAATTTATTTTTCAAAATTGTTTCAATTTACAGTAAACTTTCTTTAGTTTAGCTAGCCCTAATGATTATGTTGTATATGTTTATTAGCCAAATATTTTATAATGTCTTCTGTTTGCTTAAACTCAGCTTTTTACAGTAAAATATGCGAGGCTTGGCAACGCAGGGAAAATGCAAAATTACATTATAAAGCTTGTTGTATAGAATCAGTTTGACTATTGAACATGTAAACACCAAATATTAAATGGAAAAAAAAATCTGACTTTCTGATAGGATTCACAGAAAATGCAATACTCTTAATTCTCTAAAAATATATGATAAAGCTATTAAATGTATTTGGACAGGATGCTATGCATTAGTTATGCAAAACTTATAGGTATTAATGCAAACACAAATGTTATTTATGACACTTGGAACAATTTATGTATATAAAATTAATCTCTAGTCACATATTGGAAAAATTAACAGGTTCTTTAAACAGTAAAGCATCTTAAGAATCTTAATTCACATTTGGACTAGGAAACAGTGCTTTCCTTGGCATTAAAATAACAAATATTTTCTTTAAGTACGTGCAAACATCAGTTTTACTTCTACAAATACAGTACTTAAGACCATACTACATTATTCTTCATATAAAAATAACTTCATATACAGTCACACACACGCACACACACACCAGAGAAACCATTGTAAACCACTGCCAGGGAGAAACTTGGTGCCTTCCTGAAGTTAGTGGAAGAGAAAGCTTTCCCAGTACTTTTCCAAGAGTGGATTTTAAAGAACAGTTTCACATCACAGTGAACTAAAATTCTCAAGCATGACAGAAACAAGTATTCTGAGAACAAGAAGTTATTTCTTTTTGGAAGAAGGGATTAAATCAATCACTTAGTAAACAAAGAGTGGAGCCTCATTCTGAGCCCATATTAGTATACCCTAGCAAAACTCCATAATATCAGTGAAGTTTTGCATCCTCACCAATGTGAAATCATTTATGAATCTCATTTAAGACCTCCTCTTGTCTTCTACTCTACAAAAGCATAATTTTTAACCAGCTGGAACAGCCAAATTCCTCAAAAGTGTCTGGTCCCTTTCAACTTCACTAGTTAGGTGCCTGTTTGATTATTAGGGGCTTCAGTTAAAAGGGAAAAAGAAACTAAACACAATTTATCTGCCTTTGCTCTGATAACTTAGCATGAGACCTTGTCACTCTTACTGAAAGCAGGCCCGCGCTCCCTGCAGTGAACCTACCCACTGAAAACACCACCAAAAACAGTGGTTCCATTTGCTGAGTAAAATGCCATTCATTGTGAACAAAGACAGCAGAAAATGGCCCTTCCTCTTACCTGCATTCCAAGGTGACCTGTGCAAAAGTTGGGGCAGATGCATGGAGGATATTTTACTGATAAAAGCAAGAGCAGCCTGACAGAATTGAACGCCTGTATAGACAGGACTTATATGAGCAAAGTGCATGGGTGTTTGTTGAGTTAGGACCAGTTACATTTGCTGGGCAAATTACTGGAACTTCCTGTCATTCAGTTATATTGAAATGATTTAAAAACTTCATCCCCACTCAAAGTTGAATTTAAAGTTTAGTGTTCAAGATGCCTGAGTATGTGAGAAATGTAGTAAAGGGAACTGTAATATTCATAAACAATAAAATAAATGTAGTGAGTATCTACAAAGACCTTCACATTCACATAGTTTTGTAGCAGCTATAGTAAAGGGTAAGAAATACATTGTGGCTACAATGCTTGCCTGCTTTGACAAAGCTAGCAGTTCTTTCAAGTCATATTCTACTCATGCTGTAGCAGAGGAAATCACTGTTTAAATCACCCTATTATAAATTCCAGTTCTGATGTAAAATACATGCACAAAAGGGTTGTCTTTCTTTCAGACAGTACACATTTAGGGTTTCTTTTTAAGCTATACTGACTACTGTTTGCTTGCAAGATGTAGACAGGAAGAACTTAACAATTAACAGCATTTCTGTCCATGTTTTGTTCTTCACTAACCATCAGAGAGGTGGTTTTAGAATCTTCTGTTTTTCCTTTACTCTCCTCATGTTCTAGATCCACTGATCTTGCAGGCTCTTCCTCAGAAGTATCACGTGTGGTGATCCTAGATGCTTCAGTTGCATTTCCTCTGACTGTAATGTGCTCCCATCCACCCTATAAATGAAATAGAAAAAAGATCACCCTGCATTTAAATTATTTAATATGATGCTTTGCACACACCTAGTAGTGTGTGCAAATCTTATATGATCTTATATGATAAAACATAAGATAAAACAAATCTTATATGATTTATTTTATACTATTGGTTCTTGGTAGGGAAAACTGTCTTGCTTTGTCCTAACTCAGAAAAAAACAGGGCCCATGAATCACTAGGTAGGTGGATACTGATCCTAGAGCAGCAGCACTTACCCCGATACCGTAATCCCATGCGAGCCCCTTAGGTTCCATGGGCCGAACACCCGTGCGATGGCAGACTGTCCCACAGCTCAAGCTGTGACTTCCTTGCACCTTGTCAGCTATCACCCACACCTTAAGAAAGCAAAACGAAGCAGTAAAGTGCGTTCTCGTGCTCTTCTTCCCGGAATTCAAGTTATAAAAATTCTTAAAATTATTCTTGACCCYTGTATAAGGCAAAATGGCCCCATTCAGTCAGAAACTGAAACAAGAACAAGACACTGGAGCTGTAGTGAAAACTTTGCTAAACAGTAAGTAAAAGAAAAGGCTGYTTTTAGTGAAAGGCTGGCTGCATCACTATTTCATTGGCCTGATTTTGTGTTGCTGTCAGGGTTACAGTATTTAAACAATCACCTTGTATCAGCTAAACAGATGAACAAAAAAAACAGTTTTTGAAGAACAATACATTTAATTACAAAAACATATGAAACAATTGTAAATAATCTAAAAAGGCGCAAGAAAGCCTAATAAATACCTGGTCCAGGGGCCCTACAGACACTTTACGGATATTATTTGAAACATGATCCCAGGTAGATCCTTGAGGGTAGCTTGGGGTGATACCTTGTCGATACCAAAGATTGCCTGTAAAACAAACACTCATAATTACAACTCTGGATGACTGTTTGTGTAATATGCTGCTAGCTAACAACACAAGAAATCARTAGTTAGTATTGGCTGTGATCTGTGGAAATACATTATGCTTTTGACTAACGTGTTAAAGTGAATGAAGATGTAATTTCCTACTTTGGCAGTTATAGTTCCAAAGTTATAGTTAAGTTCTACAGTTATTCTTTATAACTTTCTGGAAAAAATAGCAGATAATCTTATTTTGTAGAATTTCTTCAGGGAAAATATTTATATAAAGAACTATGCATTAGAGAGGGGAAACAAGTAAGACGGACATCTCTGGAAACCACTTTAAAGACTTATTTCTTTCAAGAAAGAGGATCCTGAAGAGAATCCTTCACAATTTGCTTTGCAATG